ATCCCGATGGGTCCACTTAATCCCTATCGACGTCCCAGATAGGTCCACTTAATCCCTGCAGGTCCACTTATACCTCACCGGCGTACCGGATGAGTCCACTTAATCCCTACCGACATACCGGATAGGTCTACGTATACCTCACCGGCGAACCGGATGAGTCCACTTGCATACTTAAAGTATTTCTAAATCTCTTTAAACATTCGAAAGTAGCAATATCACGTACTCAACATATCACTGAAATTATTAATATGAATTTCACTAAAACCATTAATAACAGTCACTTTCAATAACATTTGAAAAATAACCAGTCAAATATTTTGGGCTCAAATTTAGAAAGGTAGCAGTTCGTAAGAACATTCTAGCATAATTGCCAATCTAGTATGTATAGAAAACTCTTATAGAAATCCAAGAATACGAAATTATCACAATTTCTGGCATGTCAATTTGCAAATAAACATTTCACAGACAATGCTATAATCAAATGCAAATATATCAGTTTTCAAATAATAAGGCAGTCATTTGCACATGAATTTTACAATGTCTAAATATTCAAAATAGTAGAAAGAAATTTCACAATTTTACTAAAAGCAGAAATATCACATTTATTTCGAATAATTTTACAGTATCTAAAATTCTCTAACAATAGCCAAAAAAAATAAATTTATTTCTAAGAATTTACAGCATTTAAAATTTCTAACATAGATAAAATATCACGATTTTATTAAAAAGAATATTTTTCAAAATAATGAAGTCGCTTGCGCATAAAATTTATCACGCCTAAAATTCATGATAATAAGTAGAAGTAATTATTTCATTTCATTTTTTTAAAAAGAACGGATTATTTTTCAAGATAATGAAGTACCTAAAATATTTGAGAATGAGCTTCCGATAAAAATTCGGCTAGAGAGAGGAGCTCACTGCATTTGTAAGAGGGAGAGCGAGAAAGGAGTTGTTAGGCGACGTCTTATCTTTCATCCTATTTAATTTCTTTAAAACGCCTCCATCTCATGTATGAGGTGTCGCGTAATTGACCGCCTTTAATACCTGAAAACCACGTCCACTAAAGGACGTGGCAAGGCCTCCATCTCATGTATGAGGTGTCGCGTAATTGACCGCCTTTAATACCTGAAAACCACGTCCACTAAAGGACGTGGCAAGGCAGCAAAAGCTTAAACCAAATGAAAGTAAAAGCTTTTGAAAGTAGTGATGGTCCCTAAGGACCATCATGCTCATATGGACCATCACTTATTAAAAATTTCTTCTTTTTTTTTTTTTCCTTTTTTTATGAAAGTTTAGGATTCTTACATTCTTCCCCCTTTAAAGAAATTTTGTCATCTAAATTTGTGTACCTGATTACTGAAAAAGATAGGGATATTTTTCTCTGATATCGTCTGCTCGTTCCCTAATCGACTCCTCTCTTGAATGGTACTGCCTTAATATACAGACCAAAAGAATCTCATTGTTGCGCAACACTTGTACCCTTCTATCCAGTATCAAAATTGGCTGCTCAATGAAGGATAGGTCCCTCTTGATCGGTAAAGGTTCATATTTCAAGATATGGGATGGGTCGGGCTGAAATTTTCGTAGTGATGATACATGAAAGACATTGTGGATGTTTGCCAATTCGGGTGGTAATGCAAGTCTATAAGTGACACCTCTAATTCTTTTCAGGATTTCAAATAGTCCGATGTAACGTGGGCTCAGCTTTCCTTTCTTGCCGAATCTCATAATGCCTTTTATTGGTGAGATCTTTAGGAAAACTAGATCACCTTCCTCAAATTCAAGATCTCTCTGTCGGTTATCGGCATAACGCTTTTGCCGACTCTGACCTGTCCTGAGCCTTTCTCGAATTAATGTTATCTTATCTGTGGTTACCTGGACAATTTCTGGCCCCAAAAGCTTTCTTTCACCAACTTCGTCCCAACAGATGGGTGACTTGCATTTCCTTTCATACAGGGCTTCACATGGTGCCATCTGAATACTGGCTTTGAAGCTATTATTATGAGCAAACTCAATCAGGGGTAAATGGTCATTCCAGCTTCCTGTAAAGTCAATGACACAGGCCCTCAGCATATCTTCCAAAGTTTGGATGGTCATCTCCGATTGTCCATCAGTTTGGGGGTAAAAGGCAATGCTAAATGTGAGTCTCGTCCCCATGGCTGACTGTAGCCTAGCCCAAATTTAGAAGTAAACCGAGTATCCATGTCCGATACAATACTGATCGGAACTCCATGCAACCACACTATTTCATTAAGGCACAAGTGGGCCGGTCGATCCAAAGTGTACGTCATGCAAATCAACAGAAAGTGGGCAGCTTTGGTTAGCCGGTCCACAATGACTCAAATGCTATCATGTCCTGAATTTGTTCTAGGCAAGCTAGAGACAAAATCCATAGAGATGTGCTCCCACTTTCACTCTAGCACGGGTAAAGGCTGCAACAACCCACCGGGCCTTTGATGTTGAGCTTTTACTTGCTGGCATGTTAGGCACTTAGATACAAATAATGCTACCTCTTTTTTCATATTATTCCACCAAAAGGTTTTCTTCAGGTCCTGATACATTTTAATACTTTCGGGATGTATTGTATAACGAGAGTGATGTGCTTCTTCCAAGATAGCTTTCTTCACACTTTCATCATTCGGGACACAAATCCGACATTTGAATCTTAGCAAATCCTCACTACATATAGAGAATTCTTCTCTCTTTCTTAGCTTTACCTCTTCTACAATTGTTATAAGCTGAGGGTCTTTCTTTTGTGTCGATCAAATCTGTTGGATTAAGGTTCTGCCTTA